TATGCCTGTGATTTGGGCTATTGCTCATTTCGCATGCACGGTACCCGTATGCATGGAGTTTGAGCACGTATGTACTGTGTACAAGTGATTTCTCATTTCGCATGTGCGGGGGGCCGTGGCTGGTAGCAGCTTACTTCGGTGGGCACGAAAATAGCCGGTGGGATTCACGGATGCCGCGAGCTCGGCGGGGTGGGCATGTGGTACTGCTTGTCAGGTAAGTATCTGCATGATGGCTGTATCACATATACCTCACCCCTCCAGTGAATCTCTATTTCCAGCCATCAACTGAGTTGACCCACACTCAGGCGACCGCTGGCGGATAGGCACAGGCACTAACCATTGGCGGAACATGGAATCAGGCGGCGTCACCGCTTGTCGAGGCCGGGACAAGGAATCCCTTGACCTCGCCAGGTGCGCTGAGTCGCCATGACATAGAAGCAGGCGACGTCACCATTCGCCGAGGCTGGGAAACGGAATGCTGAGTCGCCAGGACGTATGAAGCTGATGGGCGTGGCTACCTGTTTCTGACGCATGATTGACGTGTGTTGAAGGCCGGAACCGGCGCGAGTACGGGGACTCACCTACGTCACCAGGCGAGGTCCGGCTCAAGGTCGGAATCGGATGACCACGTCACTTGATGACACAGAAAACGCGCTTGCTTGCCATGTGCACTTACACTCCCACCGCATGTCCAGGCTGACCGGTGTGTGAGAATGTAATGAGAGGACGTCACTAAGGTAGCGCCCTCTGGCAGGCTACGTCAGGCACCTATCGTCATCGTCGGGAACAGCAGCGGCATTGTAGTGTGAAGTAGCAAAACTTTACGGCACCGCCCGAGCAAGCGAAAGAGCGACGCGATAAACGGCGCTATTGCTTTGCCTCGCACGTACGTTTGTACAGCCGCAATACCACAAGCGAACAAGGGAAGGAAAGAAAAAGGCAACACTGGTGGCGGGGTTCGATCGCTCGAGCACCCGCCTGCCAGCGCCGTGTGCTACCTGTGCAGCTAACGAGCCACTGGTATTGGACGCACCTGAGGCTGGTAACAGTGCATCTGTACCGAGCGGGTGACGTCATACAGTTGTGCATGTAGCTATGATGCTTGACATCACTGGGCCAGGACACCGGNAATCTCGGCAGGACTGTGGTGGCCTCGGCGGGGATCCCGGTCGGTCACATGACCACGGGACCTCGCGGGCTGGCGGCGAAATGATATAAATACCCCGCATTTTCGCCGACACCACTACAAAGTACCATGGAGGAGGTGATGGAGCTAACCACCGGGAGTCCGTCAAGCTGGGGAGGGCTGGAGGCCCTAGACGCCGACGCGCTGCTCGCCTCGCCGTCGGCAGTATCACCGCCAAACGCGCCGGAATCGCCACCACCACCCCGCAGATCGCCGAGAGGTGAGTCGGCACGAGTAGTATTGACCCGCTTGGAGAAGGCCACCCCGGCTAGACCGGATCCTTCTTCGACCCGCACTACTTCTCGGGGAACGGCGAGCCACGGCAGGGAGGTAAGGCGCGCGTCGCCTTCTGCCGCCTCGGCGAGAGCTGGCGTGGGGCCGCAGATCACCGCCTTCGACCGGGGTAACAGTGTCGCCGCGGAGGCGTGTCCCGCGGGTCAGTGGGCATGGTGCAGGGCATGCTCCCTACCCACGTACCACGTCGCGGAGCACCAGGCAGAATACCACGAGCAGCGGGTGGAAACTTTCCAGTGCCCCGTTGCTCGGTGTGCGTTCTGCACGCCGACCTGTGCCCCCTACCGACTCAGCCGGCACCTCAACTTGGCACACCACCTCCGCAGCCAGCATGGAGCCGTGGAGCAGGACCGCTGGGCGACTGAGCAAGGCCGCCCTACGTCCTACCGAGAGGCGGACTTAAAGTACCACCTTCCCCTCTCCACCGGCGCGCCATTGCCAACGCCGGAGGAGGGCCGGAAAAGAGCGAAGGGATCGAAGCCACGCGCGGTGCCGCGGCCTGTCACGGCTGCCCCGGAACTCGTGCCAGGGAAGCAGGGTCGGCCGACCAAGCGGAAGCTCGGCGCGGAGCTTCGGGCCGCCGCTACTGCCCCGGGGCCCTCCGAGAGGCGACGAAGGACGGACGCTCCGACCCCGGACCCACAGGTAACTGACGCGGGAGCCCGGCAGCTGCGGCAGCTGAGCACCCCTGCCCGGGAGGTACGCCCCTGGATGTTACCCGGGGCGTTACGGGACGCGACAGGCGGACCGCGGCGAGACCGCCTGGACGAGATGACGCCAGCGCAGCTCCGCATGGCGGAGGCAATCCTCCGCGAGCGGATCGCCAGCGACCTCCGCGACCTGGAGAGTGTGAGCGAACGCATGCGCGGCGTGATCCGGCAGGCACTGTAGTTTGGAGTTACTGTTTGTATGGCTGTAAGGTATTACCCGAGAGCAGCAATAAACTCAGGCCTCGGCCTGCAGGTTACTTAGATCATGCTTGTATTTGCGTATGTTTATGTGGTTTACATGTTATGGTGGCACATGCACACGGCCTAGCGCCGGAATACATAACCTACGCACTACTACGCATATACACGCAGAAACCAGACAAAGTGCGGCCGGCGTCAGCAGCCGCTAGCCGGCAGAGGCCGGAACCGGCGCGAGTACGTAGGACTCACCTACGTCGCAAGGCGAGGTCCGGCTCAAGCTCAAGGTCGGGATCGGCCCACGTCACGGAATGACACGAAGCGCGTTCCTGGGATTCGAACCACCCGTATCCACCTCTCCAGCGGGTAAGCCGAGGGCGTCCAGAG